GACCCTATGTGCATCCGAGTCTCCTAAAGTCTCGGGACCAGAGCGAGAACTGTACGCCAAAGGGTGAAAGTTTCACCGACTTCACCACAATCACCGGCTCCAGTGTGGATATCGGATCCCAGTCGTGAACCATGTAGAACGGTCTCTCTCCTAGGATCCGATTTCGAGCGGTATTGATCGCGAAGGTAAGTCGCTCTGCATACTCGTCCCAACCTCGCTGATCCGTATCTTGAACATACATTTTGAGTGCCCTTGTGGTGATCTGCACCGTCCTCGCTGCGGATCCGTTCGCCTGGGGTCTATATGCCATTGTTGCCTGTTGACGCTGATCCAGGATTTTGGTAAGCGCGCGAAAGATATCAGACATAAATCCGGGTTCACGATCATGGCGGATCACTTCGCTGACACCAAATCGGTGAAACACACATTCCTCGTAGGGTTCTGCCACAGTCTGAGCCGTCCTGGATCCGCTCACTTTGGCGATCACATAACCACAGAAGAGATCTTCGAAGATCAACAACTCCGTGTTACCTTTATAGGATCTGGGCAATGAGGGGATGTAATCCATAGCGATGACCTGAAACGGATAAGTCGCTTGAAGATTACCCGGTGATTCGCCCTGGATCCGGGGTCGTCCTTTTCCAGTCTCGCAGTCAACATACTCCCCGACATATCTTTGCACGCTCCGATACAATCCTCTCAAGTGAAAATGACACCGGATCCGATCGAAAGTACGGCCGATCCCCTGATGTCCACCTTGGAGGCTGGTATGATAATAGTGTAGAACATCTTGATGCAACGTTTCAGGAAACACCAGTCGCATCAGTTTGTCCCGGTCCGCAGCTGATTCTTTCGTGGTGGGGCAATAGAAAAGAAGATCATGATGCACTTCATAATTCATGGCGATAGATCCGCAAGATCTAGCCTCTTCCTGTGTCAGATCGCGTAATTCACCAGTCAGATATTTCTTCAAACTGTGGATCCACGCCTCCTCGTCCTGTGTCTGTCGGATTCGCTCGATCCTGAGCTCTCTGATCACTTCCTCGCTCAGGGGGGGGGGGTTGGATCCCGATCTCACGCCAGATCTAGCCTTCGATCTAGTTGTAATGGCCGAGATCTGCACTACCGGATCCTCGAATTTCACCACCAATATCTCGATGTGACCAGATCCTGGATCTAGCTATCGGTTTCGATCTTGACTCCACATTGTCGTTGCAATACAGCACTAGCTAGACTATCTGCACTCCCACTTCATATGTACCAACTCATGATCCGGCCGGATCCACAGTCTGTTCAACGCCTTCTGTCTTATAAATGCCAATCCAGGCGCCTTGCAGTCGATATCACCTCTAACTTGGCGGATCACCAAGTTTATTCACCACAGATCACCAGTCGTAGCGGATCCGTCCCCTCCAGCAAGTCAAGACTTAACAAAAAGCCGTGATATTCAGCCTCATTGATAGTTAAACCTTCGGCATAGCCGGATCTGGCCTTCACCACAGTCCACTCGGGCAATTTCCCCAGAATCGCGCTGTAGGCGCCTCCACCTCGCTTGACGCGGGCGGATCCGTCGAAGCTAGCAACATACAGATCCTCATCCGATCTCACTGTCGGGATCGGGGCTTGGATCTTGCGTCTCAGCTGTTTCTTCCGGGCGATCGAAGTCAGCGCTTTGTCGACTTCGGACCTGTGAGGGATACTGGCTGCTAATGTGCCCAGGATCTTATCCTCGCCCTTGTTACACTTGACGATCTCGAGGATCCATGGTGAAAGCAACGCGGCCCACTGTCCCAGGCTACCTTGTAATGCATTAGATCTAAACAGCCAAGCCAGTGTGGAATATCACGTCAGCACCCGAATCGGCCTCCCAACCAAAGTATTATGATTGAGATCCAGGGTCCGCAACAATGCCAACACCTCCTTTTCCGCGATCCCGTAGTTTAACTCGTTAGACTTCAGCGTACGGCTCGTGAAGATTACTGGGTAGTTGATCTGATCATACTCCTGCATTAATGCACCGGAGATCGCCCAATCACTGGCATATACAACAACCACAGCTTGCCGATCCGGATCGAAGTGGCGTAGGATCGGCGTCGTCGCGATCTTCTCCTTTGACACCTTGAAGGATATGTGAGCATGGATCCACCGGGGGTCCAGATCTGCAAGATTGTCCTTCTCGGGATCCGACACCTTCCCACCGTCGAATGCAGGATCCCCTGATAATGAGTTCGGATCTCGCTGGCTAGGTTCAAGATCCGGACCCCGCGAGTCCGGATCCAGGGGTTGCGAACTTATCGGATCCTCAGTCAGTACCTCCGGATCTTGGATTTCCGACGCCAGTACTAGCTGGATCCGGCCTCGATTCACATCCTTCTCCAACGCAACATAGTCGATCTCCCTCAACTCATATAGGGCATACGCGTGTGGTAAAGTGCGATCGGAATCTCGCGAGAAGAGCAACCTCGGCTGCCAGATCGCGAGAAAGAGACGGACCAGGCGACAGCAATCCCACTCTGGGCCAAGATATCAAGACGATTTCCCAAGATCAGGCATGTGACAAGACCAGTGAGTGATGGGGACTACGGATGACCCAGGATCGACTGAAGATGACCCAAGGTCGACCCGACAGGATG